CGGCCAACTTGACCGCTGAGCCGACATCCTGGCCGAGAATCGTGGCGCGGTGAAAGACGACATCTTCAAAAACCACAGGCGTACGCTGAAAGTCACAGCCCTTCTGCTGGGCCAACATTATCCAGGCCAGTGTCAAGTATCCCGTTGCCGGATAGAGTATGCGACCATCAATCTTGTGTCCGGCCAAGAAGGCGTACTCCTCCTTGCTCAGATCCAGTTCAACGGAAAGCTGGCTGGTCTGTCGGCCGCCCTGAAACTTTGGATAGCTCCATTTCTGTGTGTGATCCCAGCCGATTAGCGAGCTCAGCATGGGCGTGCCCCGAGAGACGGGATAGCTAATTGTTTGGGATAGCGACAAGCCCAGCAGCTGTGGCTGACCGCCAGCTACATACAGCTGACCAATCTGGCTTAGTAGGTACTCGGAATTGTTTGGATGACCCCGTTGCATGAGGCTCACATAGCTTATTTTGGGTCCCAACGCGCGCAATATGGACCGGAACAGACCATGTGGCGCAATCTCCACAACCAGCGCGTTCTTGGGTATATGGCAAATGGCTTCATGGAAAAGCACTGGCGAAATCAAATTGTTGATGAAATACGTCGCAGAGGCCATGCGGCAAGCGGGCGTTTGCCAGTCGCGCTCCGGCACGCTGGTGCTCAGCCAACGATTCGTGCGCAGCTTGGGATCCGTGATCAGTCGCTCCAGATTTTTGCGCAATATTGGTGCAGCATTCGCGATATATCTGCTGTGAAAAGCATAGCCGCCGGACTCGACAGCCCGCACAAACACACCCGACCCATTCAACTTTTGTATGGTCGCGTCCATGCTGGCCACGGGTCCCGACACTGTGCAATTGTTGTCGCTGTTGTGGCACACGGGATAACAGTCCGGCGGCAGGTGGTTGCCAATTTCATTCCAGCTCAGTCCCACGGCTGCCATTTTGCCCTGCGGCAGACCTGGCGTCTCCAGGATGCTTTTACCGCGCCAGTAGGCAGCCAGGACCGTTTGCTCGGCCGTCAGGCAGCCGTCCATATAGGCTGCGCCCAGCTCGCCAGCCGAGTGTCCAATAATGCCATCCGCCTTAATGTCCAGCGTCTTGAGCAGATCCGTCAATGCCACTTGCACGGCTGCGATTGACACAAAGGAGTTTAGCATATTGTCGAATGTGCTCTCTGTTGAGTGAGTGAGAACCTCGATCAGGTCAAAGTCCATTTGGGTAAGCACCTGCACGATCGATTAATATAGATAAAGAGACGAATCGCATTAATGACTATGCTAATGATCTTTTTCAGACATTTTTTGTTGGCGGCTTAAATTATGCCTTTCTGTTAAGTCCTTGGGGAGAACAACTGATCACTCGGTTGGTATTTCCCAATCCAATCCCAATTATGGCTGATTAAGAATTCATATTTAATAATATAAATACTAAATTTTCAAAGGTCGATCATCCTTCTGCTTCCATTTTATCCTAGCTTACCAATATTCCATGGCTGTTGTATCAAAATCTTTTGAGAATCGCATAGAAGCCCCACAGGCTACAGAGAAGTGCATGTGTACCTGCTGGAATTTTAGCTGAGGCAAAAATGCAATCTATTGGTGCCTTATTCGATGGACTTTAAGCTCATTACCAAAATAAAAATCTCTAATACGAAAATCTTTAAATACACTGCGATCCCATGATATATATAGTATATGCTCTATGGGGATAAGAAATTCTGTCGGAACTTACCTCAGCACAATATTGAATGGACTTGTTGAAGACCTCAATTTGCATCAGATCCTTGGCCATGCTGGCCCACTGGCTGCCCATGCCGGCATAGACAAACCAAATGGGTCGCTTTTCCTCCTCGTAAATGCAGATCTCCTGTTTGACTGGGCCCGCCGAGCCGAGCAGCGAGAAGCCACGATAGGGATGCATGGGAATGGGCTTCAAATGGATGTCGTTCATCAGCGCCAGAAACTCATCGTCGTTGCGATGCTTTGTGGCCGCGTCCAAGAGCTGATGCACCGCCTGTTCGGTGCGTCCGGAGCAAATGACAAGCTTTAACGGGGTTTTGTGTGCCTTTGGGCTGGGCTTCTTTTGCTTTTCGTGTGATTTGAGTATGACATGGGCATTGGCGCCGCCAAAGCCAAACGAATTGAGGCCCACAATGCCGCCCTGCCAGGGCAGGTTGCGATCCATCACTTTGAGCCGTCCCTCGACCAGAGCCGGCACAGCCGGATTGGGATTGTGATAGTGCAAATTTCTGGGTATTATGCCCTCCTCCATGGCAATGATAACCTTGGCCAGCGCACTTACGCCCGACGCCGGCTCCGCGTGCCCCATATTGGATTTCACGGATCCAATCAGCAGAGGAGCGGGCCGCGACGGGTGACAGAAAAAGTTGCTTAGCATATTGGCCTCCTGGTCGTCGCCCACGGGCGTGCCACTGCCATGTGCCTCCACATAGACCACCTTGTCGGGGTTGAGGCCAATCTCGCTGTACGTCTCGTGCAGCAGCTGCTGCTGCATTCGACCATCCGGAAAGGTGACGCCCTGCTCCTTGAAGCCATCCGTATTGGTGCGCACATTCAGTATCGATGCATACAAGCGCTTCGCCTGCGCTCGGCGCTGCAGAAAGACCACGGCACAGGTGTCGGCACGGGCATATCCATTGGCGCCCGCATCAAATGTCTTACAGGAGCCATCCTGGCTAACGATGCCCAGGCGCAGAAACTGCAAGGCGAATATGGGCTTCAGGATGAGATTGACGCCGGCGACCAAAGCGTAATCGCAGCGGCCCGATCGCATGTCCGTATAGGCGTGCGATAGGGCCACAAGTGAGCTGGAGCAGGCGGTGTCGACTATAAAGCTGGGTCCCTTGAAGTCGAAGGTGTAGGATATGCGGTTGGCGAACATGGCACGGGCACAGCCTGTCAGGCAGTAGCCATTTATGCTGCTCGGCTCCATGTTGGGTATCTCGTGCTCCGTCTCCACAAAGGACAGGCCAATGTAGACGCCGGTGCGAGTGCCGCGCAGCTCGGATGGATTGATGCCAGCATCAATGATGGCCTCGTGTGTCAGCTCCAGGAGCATTCGCATGCACGGATCCATTAGTTCCGCCTGCTTCTGGTGTACGCTGAAAAATTTGTCATCAAATTTTTCCAAATCCTCGTCTCGCATCTTGGCCATGCGCTCGGGTAAGCCATATATGCCTGCCGTCCGCCAATAAAACATTATAATTAAACATTTATATCTATATAAAATATATTCTTATAAGAATCCAATTGCGTACCTGCCTCCCAGCGTCTCGGATCGTCTGTTACCATATCAATACCATTGAGTAAGTTATGCTTGAACTCTTCTATGTTGCTGCTCTCCGGAAATTTGCCAGATATTCCCGAGATGACTATTTCAAGCTCCTCACCGACAGCCTCATTGTTCTGTGTCTTCAATAGTTCCTCCTTTTTCTTGCTACCCATTTTATATATTTGGTTCAGTGTCAGATTGGTTCGGGTTTAATCTGTCTATGGTATGGTATCAAGATATTATCAATCTATATTTATATATTAATAATAGTATATAGATAACAAAAAGCTCAAACATCTTGTTTTCCCCCTTTTACTATATGGATTAGCTGTTGCTAGCTTCAAATTCGAAATATGCATTTTCCAGTATATTTTGAACTTGGACAAATCATTTTTTTAAGATCTTTGCCAAAGAGCTTAGACCACAAACTTTTAAAAAGCTTGGATTTTGCGAAAAGTGTGAAAAATAAAATGTATAGCAAAAAAAAAAAAAGTAATAGAACTGTTTTGCAAGTATTTATAACAGATCCAGGTGGAATTTTCATTAATGTAAGTTTGAAGCCGAAAATACTTAAAAAAAAACATTTTCCACCCAGGGGAATGGATTTAGCGAAACGTGTGAAACAACTCTCAAATGAAATAGTACGGCCACACTATATAATATAGTTGGAAAGTAGGACATATTTTGTTTGTGCTTTAATTGCACTCTCCATACAAAAGTCTTGTGCATATCGGAAAATATCATGGAGCTGATGTGGCAAGAGGTCATGCAATTCAATATCCTGTTTCGTATCCTTTCAACATCGGATCAAGCACAAATGCTGAGAAATGTAAAAAATGTTCAACATTTAATGGTTTTTCTGCCTCGTGTAGCTTGCGAGCAGCTAAGATGTTTTCATGGGCTACGCTTAAGTTCGAGCTGGGCACAAGGTATTCCTCGTCAGGCACATTCGCTCGGATCACTTGTCTATACATGCATATATATGCCATATGGTATATATGTATATAGATATAGATTTGCGCATTCGAGCATTGCAACTTTTTATCCGATTTGCAATTAAATATGCGACAAGTTCAAGTTTCGCACAAAGTCCAATGGTCACATAAGTACATTTGGGAACAGGCCACCAGCAGGTGAGACTCTCGACCTGCTGCTCTTGACACTCACGAATTAGTTATATAAAAATTCCAGCACAGGTGTGTTCACCGTGTCTGTTGTTTGCACTGTCTCACTTATTATGCCTTGGCTATTGATTCACGTTTGGTTGTACAATTGTTAAATGAATGCACCGTGTATCCTTAAAGAGAGACTGTCACTGTCACTGTCACTGTCACTTATTATCCAGCTATATATATATATATTCAGGGGTTGCTATCGCTCCGACCTGATCCGCAGACACACTGAACGCGACGCGCACTCGGCGCATTCTTTTTATGGCGTCCGTCTTGGAATTGAAGAATTCTAATGTTGCATAAATAATCGCCTATATCCATACTTAATACTAAGCCATATCCCTTGCCCAGCCAAGCGCTGTGCGCTGTCATCTACTGAATAATGCATTATGCTAAATATTCGATTCAATACACAAAAATTGCGACGCACACCAGGAACCAGGACAGGTGCATAGATATGTGTGCGTGCCCTGTTAATTAGTCGCAAGTGTGTCGACACCATATTGACCCAGTTGCCAAGCCCATTTAAATATAACAATTGCCAATTGTCTCACTAAATTTTTTAACTTTAATAACGGCGGCTGCGTGTTCCGGCCAACTGGCGTACCGCCGCATTGCGTGCATTCGTTTTGCGCTTTTTCGCGGGTCGACCCTTTTTGTGGGCATGCGGTCGGCCACGTTTGCATTTGAACCCAGTTTTTGGCGGACCCTTTGCCCGAGCCTTGGTGTTGGTCTTTTGCTTGATTACGGCACTTCGAGAATCCTTCAACTAGACGAAATTTATGGACTATATACATATATATATTGTCGTCTTGCGTACACTTACAGTTTTGGCCAGGCGCTTGATGACCTGTCGACCCTGCTCCGGAGAGACCAGTTCCTTGGCTTTCGCTGGCTGCGGCTGCGCCGGCTTGTTGTCGTTCCGGTTGCGAAAATTGAAGGGCATGCGCACACGCTTATCGCTCAGCAGCAGCAGGCCAAGATTCATGCCCAGCTCCACCGAGAACTCGACAGCTCGCTTGAGATTGCCAAAGGGACTAATAATATCGTCCATTACCACATCCTGTATCTGTTCGCACAGCGCGTCTATGGAGGTGCCTGAATCGAGTTTTTGGCAATTATTATATAGATAACCCTAAATCCATGTGCCAGATCTTTAAACTAATTTTAGCAATGGACCCACTCATCCTAGTCCTGGCCAGCAGATACTCACATAAATCCGGCTGACGACTCAGCAAGTCCAGCACGTAGGGCAGCAGGGATGTTGTATTAATTTCCATTTAAAATTTAAATACACGTATTAAGAAAATGTATATTATTATTTTTCACAAGAGTATTTATAAATGTTTGAAAATTTACCTCGCGTGTGTATACCTATTGATAATCAAATAATTCTCAAGGGTTGCTGAAACTGAAATTTTATGTTCAAAATCTACTTTATTCTTCTTTCCGCTTGTTACAAACATGTGCACCTAACTCATATACCCCTTTTATCCATTGGCAATGGGTATAAAGACAAGAGCTGCGCTATATATTTTTCCGATATCCGAAATGTGAGTTTCAGTAAAATACATTTAATTGTTAAACTTAATTATTTAATTAAAAAAAAAAGAGTATCTTCAGTGTTCTTCGAGTGATATGGCGGATTGTAAATTAGATCTATATATATATATAGGTCCTGAGATCAACTGACATACCTAGGGAACAATTGGGATTATAAGAATATGGGAATATAATTAGAAACATTTGCGAACCCCTAAGCTATATATGTTTGCTTGATAAAGACTGGGCAGAGACTTTCTACACAATTGTTTTTTGTCTTTCGCGATAAATATTTATGTCAAGTCAAGGTTGCTTGATCGTATCTTTATATGTATATATGTATATATGTATATATGGGTTCTCGTATGCACTTCTAACAATCCTACTCCTCCCCTCAAACCAAATCCCATTTCGAAGCCATCAAAAAGTATTACCGAATGTACGCTTCAATTTTTGTGGATCACGTGATATACTACTTATAAGCTTATAAATAAATATGTACCTGCCACAAGCTAGGTGCACAGGTATCGTATCAAATATGACAGCTCTGGCATGGGAACAGTAACAACGACAGCTTGCTAAAGTATCCGACTGGGGGATACCTTTGAGCTGCCATTTATGTTACATATATGAGAATATTTCTGAAATCACATCTGATATACATTTTTATACAGCCCCTGTTTCATTCAATTTCTAGGGTATCAAAAAAAAACGAATACAAAATGAGTCGAAGCAAAGACGCGTGCTTCATTCGAATATTTCTAAAATCAGACCAGAAAAGAGAACGAATCATAGTTACATAGCTACCATACAACTCCTCTTTCATTCCATTTCTAGGGTATCGAAAAAAAAACGAATACTAAATGAGTCGAAACAATGACGCGTGCTTCATTCGAATATTTCTAAAACCAGACCAGAAAAGAGAACGAATCATAGTTACATAGCTACCATACAACTCCTCTTTCCTTTCCTTTTCTAGGGTATCGAAAAAAAAAAAAACGAATACAAAATGAGTCGAAACAAAGACGCGTGCTTCATTCGAATACCTCTGACCGAACGGCTGGCGACGCCGATTGCGCTGGCAACAACAGCAGAGACGCGAATTGCTTTAGACAAGCCTTGACCTTGATTGGGCGATAACCACAACCGGAGAAAATTCAGCGACACACGACTTCTCAACATGAGAACAATGTGATTAGCCGCCCTTCGCCCTTTCCCATTCCCCTGCCCATGCCCAATTCCAGTCCCAGTTCCATTCTCATGCCCGGCAGCAGCTTTTGGTGATAACTGATAACGTTTCGATTGGTTAGTCAAGCTGGCGCGTACGGAAATTTACTCTAAACCCAATTGTGTGTCACGCGCCAAATAAACCAGAGCGAGAGAGGGAGACAGAGCGTGAGAGAGCGAGAAAGAGAGAGAGAGATATTATACGAGGAGCAGTCTGTGTGCCTCAGGCGGATTTCGGCTACTATCAATTGTTGTTATTTTCATTTTTTGATTAAAATCACGCATACGTCCAGTTGACCTTGGAGATGCAGCCTGCAGCTGATAACAGAGCCGGACAACGCCGCCGCAGCTGTCAGGCTTTTCACGGTTACTTAAAGGTGAGCTTAATTATAGGTGCTGGCGACGTCAGTGGCTTAATAGTTCAACCTCAAGCCAGCTGATGCGATGCAAATACAAGCGCAACAGGCAAAAAACAGTTGCGTCACATCGAGCTGTTCAAAGTTTCCAGCCTTAAGTCTTATAATTCAAATAGCAGCATAAACGCCAATTTTCGAACTTTTCAAATATTTTTTTAACAACTTTAATATATGCTAGAGTTGAATAATAGCACAAGGTATCAAACATTTTCTACATTTTTTAAATATTTTTTTTAACAAGTTTAATATTTGCTAGAGTTAAATAATAGCACAAGGTATCAAGCCTAGTAGCTCTAAGTATCTCATAGTAACATATTCTAAATTTTTCTAAATTTTTTAAGTATTTTTCTTAACAACTTTAATATGTGCTAGAGTTAAATAATAGCACAAGGTATCTTCGTATCTCATAATAACATATTCTAAATTTTTTAAATATTTTTTTTCTAACAAGTTTAATATTTGCTAGAGTTACATAATAGCACAAGCTATCAAGCATAGTAACTCTTAGTAATATATTCTACATTCTTTAAATATATTTTTTTAAAAGTTTAATATTTCTAAAAATTAAATATAGTATCAAAGAAAGTTAGCTTTGTGGACTGTGCTCGGATTGTGCGCGAATTGTGTTTGTTGAATTGTATTTTTGTTTTTGTTATTTTTTTAGAAATACTTGCTAATCGGAAAATAAAGTTTTGTTTTATATAAATCGTTGTCTGAAATTAAAACAAATGAGCTTCGGGCATGCTACTTTTCATTTTCTATATACATATGTATGTATATGGTATGCACATAAGTTCACGCGCATATATTTATTTTAATCGATTCGATTCGATTCGATTTGACGACTGAAGAATACCAGGCCTGAGTTGCGTGTTTGGGTTCAACTTATAAATTAAAACCTCGATTTTTAGATAATTGCGTTTCATTAGTTACAAGTACTTTGTATATACGTATTGGCCCAGACAGGCAGCCAGTCCAGGCATGGAACCTATCTAGCGAAGGCCTCAATTGCTCGCAAGGCGTTCTTATACGAAATGCTTGTACTTAATATAAGCATAAATATATTCATTTTAGCAAACCTGTATCGGCTTTCACACGTTTGTTTGTTTTGATTTGATTCGAATGTGTTTCGGTCTATCTCTTCTGTTTTCATGCGTTTTCCACAGTATTTTGTGCGAAATCTCTATGTGAGCTGAATTGTATCTGGGAATTAGAATGGATTGTAATTGTAATACCCTTGCAGAGCCAACCTTTTCACAATGTTCATACAGCTTTGCCCGCATCTAAGCAGCACAGCGAAAATAAGTAGTTATTGCCGAGTTGAATCAAAATATCTTGAATAACAAAAAAAGTTTTCCATACAAGAATTTAACTACTGACCGATTATTCCTATGGCAGCTATAAGATAGTGTTAAATTCAATCTGCATGGGACTTTTGCAAAGTTTCATAAAGATAACTGAGAGACTAGTTCGCATAGAAGCAGACAGACGGACAGACGGATATGTCTCTATCGACTGGGCTATTGATACGGATCAGGAATATATATATACTTTATGGCGTGGGCGATGTCTTCTTCTATGCGTTACACATTTCGCGACAAAATAATAATACCCTCTGCAAGGGCATAAAATATTGCCTCATGCAACGCAAATGTTGATTTTTCAGATTTTGTTACAATTAAATATATATAAATCAAAAATTCTATAGACTCATTAAATGTTTTAGGTAAAAATGTTGCATATCTTGAGGCTGACGCAAATTGTATTTTTTATGGCAGTTTCTTCGGGCTGTGCTGTGGATTAATAAAATTGAGTAAATATCAGACCTTGTTTAAAAAGAAAAAAAAAACAAACAACAATTTGAATTTTATCCACAAAGTTTATTTTTGATGAAATTGAAGATTATTTTTGTTATTAATTAATTTTTAATAGAAGAATTTGATTGTCTTTTGTGTTAAGTTAAACTTGGCAACTAAGGAAAACATTTACTTAAGATGTATAAAATATTTAGAAAACAACTATGGAAACGGTGCTGGGCGTATGCGCTTGGCAAATATAGCTCCTGAAGAAATGACACGGCACCGATTTCATGCAGGGCCTGGACGCATTCGTATTCTCGACATTAACGCAATTTGACGAGATATTTGGTTGGTTTGGTTGCGCATCGTCGCACCAATGCACATAATTTGGTTTCTTGCCGCTGGACATGGAGACGTAGTCGCCGTTTTGGGCGAGATCCGTGAGATCCAGCCAATAGTTTTTGGTATGTGTCGCATTTCTAACATGAAAGCCCATCTCGTGCAGAGTTTCCAATTTGGCCAGGCCTATTAAATGACCGCCAATGCTGTGGCAATCGTGCAGTGCAGTAAACCAGGTAACATATGCCGCATCCGGTATATAATAATATCCGGTTGCGAACTTCCTGAACAACGGCTCGACATGGTAGCCTGCCGGTATGCCCAGGCGACTTGTAGTCATATCTGTTGTATAATAATGTGAAGAATATTTATTATCTGTAAGATATTGTTTATGTGAAACTCACCTGCAATGCGCGCCCATGCCATTGACAAGGCAGTCAACATTTTGAACAGGATCAGGGCAGCAACAGTTATCCGGAACATGATCGAGCTACCGGAGAGAGAGAGAGAGTTCGTCCGTAGTGTTTGAAATCTCGTTTCATTATGATTTCATCCAGCTATTAAAAGCGACAATTAATTGTGTGGCATTAACTGGAAAACCACATTGAGAAGAATTGCGCGCTTTGTGTTTTTTTTTTAAACGAATGACTCAAAGTGAAAGATTTGCCATATGACGACGATTTAATGCCCTTACCTGCCTGACAAACTTCATAGAGAGCCTGTGCCTAGCTTTAAGCAGACTGTACAAATACTCTAAGTTTCTTCCAGACAAAGAGTTTTCTATAGCAGCTGATCCAGCTCGAATTGGAATACATAATAAACTTTGTTAGGGTATAAAAAAATATAGTTGCTTGTGTATTGTTTAATAATATCAATTGTATAATACAAAGTAAAATAATTTGTACACAAAAAGTGAATAAATAAGTACAAATGCATTAGGCATTACGAGTATACCGCGGCACATTTCATTTGAAAACAAAATTAAGTGAAAACAATGTTTAATAAAGGGCAGAAGATTATGTGAGGATTGCAGAGAGCTAATCAACTTGTTTGGCCTCATCGCGATTGCGCTTGAAGGACACGGAGTGTATGAGAAGGGGCGGCAGGTTGCCGCGCAGCATTTGCAGGCGCTTGCTCTTGACCTGCTCGGGACGGCGCAGCTCGTCCTTGGACGAGCTGGTGGAGGCGGCCGACGTGGATATGGATGCCAGCGATACGGAGCTGGGCAGCATTTCGGTGCTCTGCGTCAACAGCATGTTGGAGCGCCGGAAATAGCGTGGCATGGAGTAGTCATCCTGTGAGGCACGCGCCGCATTCGCATTCTGTATGGAGTAAAGGCTTTGCGAGACGCGATACTTTTCGATGGTCGGCGTATCCTCGTAGTTCTTCGGCAGATTGCTGTACGATATGGAGGGCACCTCTGGCGTCATGCTGATTTGGCTGCCCGCGCCCGTGCCCGTGCCCGTAATGGCAAATATATCCGTTTCGCTGGCCGCAACATTCATGTGCGGCACACTTTTGGCGGAGCGCAGAATCCGTTTGGGATTTGCCGCCAGCCCCGCAACGTTTGGCAGCAGATGCGGATGGCGATCGATTAAACGCGGTCGCAATATCACCTCATCCAACATTTCCTTATCATCCTCTTTCTCCTCTTCGGCAATGGACTCGAACTTCTTCGGCGTCAGCGTCTGACTGCCCTCCGGCGATGAGTCCGAGGCGGCCAATGTGAAGGTAATGCGCTTTTCGGCAGCTCCGCTTGCCTCCGACCTAGTCGAATCGGTTGCATCGAGCTGCAGTCCAGCTGTAAAAAAAAAGCAATTATATTAGTTTAAGCAAAATTCGACCCCATAGATTAGAAGAGCTATAGAAATTTCATTGAAATTGGAAAAATTGATTTACATAATCCATATGCAAAATCAATTATATTATTTATTAGGTCAGGTCTCTTAACTAGATCAGTTTTACTTGAGGGCAAGAACTATGACATATTTATTAGCCAAATGAAGCTAAAGAAGGCTTAAGCTTAGGTAGCCTAGTTCGAAGCATCTCAAACTAAACTGAACTATAAATTTTATCAGTGCAAGAAATGCGCACTGATAATAATTAACATGAAGGAAACGAATATAATTAAATTTATTCATTTTTATACAAAAAAGTAACAGAAACAGGAGTAGAAAAGAATTCCCATCATTTTATCAGCGCACAAATTTTATTGCTGGTTATCAGCGAAGCAAACAAAACAAATAGGAAAAAAAAAATACAATTCGGGAATGACAGCTAGAAGATACCCAGCAATATTTGTTGATTTTATGGCAATGCAATTCTGAGATACTATTTTATTGGCTCTCTCTACATGTCGCAGGAAAACGGACAGAAGATCGACTCGGCTTGTCGCTTGATCAAAAATATATATATACGATATGGAATCGGAAATGACATATATGAAGTCCAAGCTTCGAAGGATTACTGCTCCCCTTAAAAAGAGTCGAACAACTCTTGACCTTGGTAAGATTAAGAGGCCTCACTTCTCATTATTAGTATTAATATAATTATCATTATCATTACCATAATTATTATTATCATTATTATTAGTATTATTAATAATTATTATTATTGATGTTATCAAAGTCGTTCAAACCCGTTTGGAAATGGGCGCAGGGTAAAAAACTGATTTACGCGCTGCACTTGTATAGACTTGATAGGAACATTCTCGATTACGGTAAAGTTAACCTTATCAGCCATTGTGAATGTTCGTAAAGGTAACTGAAGCAATGCTCTTCAATTTTGATTTCAGCCCTCGTCAATTAATTGATATACATATATAACATAATTTAACACATTGCAAATGGATAAAATTATATATTTCAATTGTGCAAACAAATTGAGGGAGGCATTCCATCTCTTCGTCTCCTTTGCCGAATATATATATTCTTGATCAGGTCCACATCGAGAGACTTTCGACAACTGCGCCAACATCGAAGAATATTGCTTCCTGTTTTTCGGCAAACTTGGGGCAACATTTAGTTGGGCACTGTCTTCCTTTTCATACCCTTATTGAGGGTATTATAATTATGTCGAGCTCCACAATTCTGTCGGCTGTTCGAGTTGGTTTTCATTATCAATGGTAAGAGATGATGATTTGAAAAATGTTACCAATTTAAATTGGTTCACAACTACCGATTATTTGCTTTGATTATCAAAAGGCAAGATAGGCAACGATAGAGTCTAATATGTATTGGGTTTATTTTTATGCTTATCTCTCTAAGAAAACCTATTTTAGTAATAATCAGCTTTTCCATTACAGCAAGCCCAATTTGGAAATTACAAACCTAATACCAGCAACAATTATTTTCATAATTCCGAATCATTTTTGCAATATGCGTTAACATTATTGTATATTAACTAAATAAGATTATTCAAACCCAACCAAAAATGATGAAATCGCAATTCGAATCACAGAAATACATGAAATTTATACTAGTTTGCCACAAGCTAGAGTCCAAATAATATCTTCCAATATATCATCAAATGAAAATTAACAGCAATTATTATTTTGGCTCGTGACTTGCAGCAGACAGTTCAGCGACTGATGATTGATGACATCCATAACAATGCATTAGATGCATTTGAGTATATGTTTTGGTTTTCATTGCTTTCATTTTTCATTTTTTTTTCAACATAGATCTAATCAAGTTAAGATTACAAGGTCTAACAAAGTCCATGATTAAATACATAAGACTTACTTACAGGTAGCTAAATGCTAACAATACAAGTAAGAATATAACTACTAAACGCTAACTGATGGTAAATATTATCATTTCTCACTCATTACTGGTTGATTGGTTGGTTGCCTGGTTATCGATGCTTAGGTCTAATTAAATGATATTAGGTCACATTTTGTGGTGTAGGTACTAAGTGAAAGTTTTCAATACATATAAGTAAGTATCTTTGGCACTAATACTGCTACCCACAGTTTGGAACTTTTTATGGGCTCTGTTTAACTCAAGTAGAACTTTACTTTCGGCACGCCGCCAGAGACGATGCTACTGCTGCGCGTGCTCTTACCACTTGTTTTGCCACTGGCCCCGCCACTGGCAACAATGTGGGCGTGGCTATGCCCCTCATTACCTTCCAGACGTCGCAGCAATCGCTCCTGTTCACTGAGACGCGGTGTGGTGGGTATCTCCTTGTTGGGCGAATGGATGCCCGCCAAGTAGGTCTTCGTGCTGATGCGATTCAGCTTGGTCGGCTGATGGTCCTGAAAGATCTGCGAGTTGGCGAATACCGCCAGTATCTCGGGGCCAAGCATCGGCACATTCGTCTGTGTCACGCGCCGATAATCCTCTTCGTGTATTTTGGCACTGTACAAAAACGCATTCAACATTAGATACAGCTAAATAATAATACAATTATACCAATACATAGCTGCCAATGCAAATGGCAAATATGGTATTTTGCCGAGCGCTGGGCCCTCATCATTTGCCCAGTGTCCGGCAAATCAGATGCGCAATCAAAGCGTGCGACTGACCAATTGACAGCCAGCAACTAATAAATTAGCAAAAAAAAAAAAAAAAAAAAAACTCCGCTTGCTCTGGCAATTAGTACCTCATTAGACCCGAGTTGCCGCGTCCCAGCGGCTGATTGCAAATTGGGTGTGGCACAGTCAATAGATGGTTATTGTCCGGGCCCGTGTGCTGAGCGCGTCCAATAATTGTGCCACTCTTCTGGGCCGACAGATACTCCTCATCGTCTTCGGCATTATAGTTGGCTGTGAAGCAATGCAAATTGACACTGTTAATTAACATTAACCGAAATTAGCCTTATTACTAGTTACAGCACTGTAGTTGGCAAACAGACACTGTTATTTAACATTAACCGAAATTAGCCTTATTAACAATTAACATGATGTCTACTGTTTGCTATCTCGTTAGCCTAATTGATATTTCTTCAGTGCCATACAATCAGATTTATTTTGCCAATCTATTAAATGTTATTTATGTACATTAAACAATTTCCATCGAATCGATTTGCTTGGTTTTTTGTGCACACATTTTAAATGCCAATCACGCCCCGCCCGCCATCTACCGGACACTTCATGCACACTTCGGCACTCACACACACACACACACACACACGCATGTTCAAGAGTAGACTGTCTATGTCTGTCGCATAACTTTACGGCTTAAATACAAAATATACGCACACACGCAAGCAGCTATGTGTCTGTCTACGTATGTATATGTGCACACATATGTACATGGCAACACGTAGGTAAACATGCACCGGCTAGCCCTCAACTCGCCAGCAAAAAGATGAGCCACCCCCCTCCCCCTCCCGCACTCTAAAATGAGAGTGAACAGAAAAGCTACATAAATGTAAATTGAAACTTACCGATTGATTCATCATAACAAAACCGTTCTTCAAAGCAGTTCCAGTACAAATCTTCCACGCAGCTGAAAGGTGTTTGAGGGTGCGAGGAAAGGGCAAAGAAAATCAAATGTTAGCAGAAAATGTAAAAAATAAAAAAAAAATAATAAAAGCTTGAGATCCGCTTACTTCTGACAACAGCGGCACATTTTCGAAGTGACTGGAACGAACAACTTCAGGCGTAGCAGTAACTGAGTTTTATCCCGTTCCCGTTGCGGAATGTTTTCGCTTTGTTTGAGTTATTTCTGCTGCTGCGGCTGATTATGTGCGGCATGAAATAGCGAAGAAAATAACATTTATGTATTGTCGTGGAATGCGTGTGACTCGTCCGAAAGTTGTTTTTGTGGCGTAGCGTGGAGCGTGGAATCAGCTTGACGTTTTATCGGCAACTGAAGTGGTAGTGCCCAAAAGTATCTCGCAGATAGCATAATGGCACCT